AGGACACAGCCTTGCTGAGCAAGCAGATTCCTAACCTACTTGCCATTACTGATGTTTACAAGTTGCGGCAATAACTGTGAAACACTGTTCGCTAGGCGCGAACATTTTTGGGCCGTGGCTTCTTCTACTATCTCGAATTTTGGGGCATAACAATAATATTATTATATTGTTATTTTATTAGCATTAAACAGAAATCGACTCGTGCATCTATTAACAATTAATGAACTTTAATTCACTGTAGAGTGTAGAAAATACACTTCTCTTACTTTTAAAGTAAATACAGTAATTCTACTCATATCTTCAATGTGATACTTGCACCTGCGTAGCTGCACACAGGCGACTGATCCGTGGGAATTTATCCATCTTGAAAAAGTGAAGTAGTCTAATAATAATAGAAAATAGCAAGACTAAGTAGCAACCACAATTTTCGAAATACTTCAGAGCACAGCTGTGATAGAACTGAAACAGTTGTAAGACACGGGACCTCTATTCTTCAAATGGAAGAAGTGACACATATACCTACTTATTTTTTAAATATTTATAATTTTAAATGAAGTCCAACAATCAGTGGGTGCATCGTTATAGGCAGAAAGTCATAAAGTTTAAGAAGCTCTAACTTGTAACAAACAGGGGCAAACACCAAAACAGTGTTGTAAAAAACAGGGCAACCCTTGCTAATCCATGCAGTTTTAGGGAAAAGCACGTACACAGAACATGCGGCAAGTATATCAAAGAAGCCGCATATATGCGAGAAAAATAAAAGATCAATAATAAAAACTATGATATAACAACAACTGTGAGTAAAAATTTATGTTTAATTTCTTAGAATACAACATTAATGTACATAACAAATCGCGGCATGTAATAAAGACTAAACAAGCATCATCTTATTTAATAAGTGCAGTGTCTGAGAATAAAATAAAAGCATATGAAACACGGTAACTGGGATAAAATAAAACAAAATTTGACAATAAATTTCTTACAACAAGTAAAAGTTCGCGGCACACCTTTCACCTTGTGACGGCACACCGGTTGCGGAACACTGTTTTAGAGACACTTGCTCCCTCTGTTTTCAGTGTAGTTGACTTATACTTTGAAGGTGGAGGCAGCAGGTTCCCCCAGGATGTTGGTATATCTACCATATAATATTATGACATCCCAGAAGGCCACAGTCTTTATATTTGCCACTGGAAGAGCCTTAAATTATACTGTTTGAATCACATATGATGCTTTTCTTGTGGTGTAGGACAAAGATGGCGATCGTGCCGTGCATCATGCAGCATTTGGTGATGAGCCAGGTGTGATGGAATTGCTGGCACATGCTGGTGCCGATCTGAATGCCCGCAACAAACGTCGCCAGACTGCCCTCCACATTGCTGTCAACAAGGGCCATGTCGGTGTTGTGAAAACTCTTCTAGAACTTGGATGCCACCCCAGCCTTCAGGTAAGTAGACGTTTTGTTTCAGTTTGTAACTGTACTGTTCTGTGTGATGTTGAATTATGATGTTTGCGTCCGCTGGATTGTGAGCAATTTCTGAGTCTTGTGAAAGTAAGTAGTCTCATAGTGTGATGCATGTTGTATGTTTGCCCCTAATAACTTTCAAACACAATGACTGTTGCTCATGAAGATGTATGGAAAATATGCCATTACCTTAAACTCTGATGCTGTATTTGAGATTTGAAGTTTTTACATCACTGAAGATTTACTCAGATTATGTTGTTCTGAGTATTCTACAAGGTGATTACTAGTGTTTCATAGGAACCTGATGCCTCCATCTTCAAGGTAGAAGACCAGAAGTTGCATGTAGTATGTCCTTCTGGAACAACAGTAACCATCGACTATAAATTTTATTTGGTTCATCCTCGTCCGGCACACTAGCAATATTATAAAAGGTTATCAAGTCCGTCCAGTGTGATTGATAATTTTTTTTCTTTTCCTTTTTAATCTTTCAGGGGGCACATGGTAGCATAGTGGTTGAGGCACTATGCTACAAGCTGGAAGGTCATGGGTTCAAGTCCCAATGAGGTCATTGGAATTTTTTTAAATTGATCTAACCCTTCCAGCTGCACCATGGCCCTCGGGTTGACTCAGCCTCTAACAGAAATGAGTACCAGGAAGTAATTAAATAATTTTCCTGGAGAGTAAAGTGCAGCCGGCACGTAAGGCTGGCAACCTTACCACCATCTTTGAGCCAATTGTCTAGATAATGTGGGACCCTCAACGTCTCACAACCTTATGGGCCTTCACTGCTTGTTACAGAGATAGCTTTACGTTTTTACTTTTACTTTCATATTCTCACTCTGGTTTTTTATTTCTATGCAGGTTTTTAATAGTACATTTGAACAGTACATGGTATTTTATATATTATAAGGGACAATATATTATATGTATCATGTATGATATGTGATGGTAAGTAGGCTGGTGCTGAGAAATTGTGGGTATTCACCTTTTCTCTTGAGGAGAATTGTTTGCCAAGTGGAATTTTTGTCTGACTTGTTAACTGAGCTGGCATTTGTCAACCCCCGCACATATAGCATCAGTAGATAGGTGTTTCTGTGGGTACATACTTAACCAGTGAATAATACTTTAATACTGTAGCAGGAAGATGCAGTTCCATAAAGTCTCAGATTAAGGGGGGTGGACAGAAGAGAAGTAGATATAATGAATGCAGTATACTTGTACAGGGCTGTGCTGTAGATCAGGTGGTCAGTCGGTGGCTTCTCACTGCGAAGGTCTATGTTTTATCATATGTTAGGTCCTATGGGATTTGTGGTGGATAAAGTGGTACTGGGGTAGGTTTTTTCTTTGGGTACATCAGTTCCCCCTGCCAGTTGTAATTTCACCAACTGGTTTATGTTCACTAATATCCGATCATCAGCGTACTGACAGCATAAGTAAATAACAAACTTAAAAATAAACTTAAACCTACAGTATTTCCATCAGTATTCATTTTGTGGTCTTCTGGGTTATGCTCTGTCTAGTCTTATAGGTGGGTACCAATATTTCAGAGGAACATGCTGCTTACATTTTCAGGGTAGAAATCCAGAAAACTCCAAAACCAATCTTTACTGCAGTCAGAACCACATATCTTAAATACATTATATACATTTTAAATGCTGTATATTTTTTTTTCCTGTGGCACTACAGCCCCAATTTGGGCGTAGGCCTACCTCCATGAAACTCTCTGTTTCACTTCGGTTTACTAGATCTTACTCATACGGTAGGACTCCTTGGGCGAGTGATCAGCTCATCGCAAGGCCTCTACCTGTAGACAGACACAGAAAAACGCACACAAACATCCATGCTCTGAGTGGGATTCGAACCCATGACCCCGGCTTCCGAGCGAGCGAAGACAGTGCACGCCTTACAGCTTAAATGTTGTATACCGGAATTAAAAAATCCCCTGTTTGAATAGGAAAGTAGTAAATCCAATATTTTTTTAGCTGAAAATACAGTGTTGCCTTCCATTTGAGTTAAGGAAGGTAGATGCCAGCACTGTCCACTGTTCCCTGTTCTGCTGCAGGACCTGTTGGCTGTAACATTACAGTTAATCTATGTGTAATGCTGCTAGAGCCACACTAGCTCAGTTGGTGTAGCAATGGGCTGTGGGCAGGGGGATGAAAGAATTGGGATTCAGTTCCCTAGCAGGGGCAAGTGATTTTTATCTAAGTCACTGCACATGAAAGAAAGTAATACAGAGTTTGTATTACATTGTGTTGGATAGGTCTTGCAAAATACAGCTTTATACCAATAATAATGTTAACATTGCACTGAGTAGCATGGCAGGAATGTATTCAGAAATTATACCTGGTTCAAATACCAGCCAGTAGATTTTCTTAAAACAAACATATGAAATAACAAAATTATTAATTTTGTATGACTGTCTCAGGAAAATATAAGCCCATTTCTTAATGTTTGAAACTATGTGTAGATTTGATTATTCTCTTACATGCATCTTTAATAAACTTAAAGAATAACAGACACTTTAATGTCTTAACCGACAGATAAAGGTTAGTACAGTGCAAGAAACTGACGCTGAAGTATATATATATATATTTTTCATTACATTAATGTTCCAAAATAGAAGAATGTGACATGACACCTTCCCCCCCCATTGTTTGGAGTCAGTTATTCTTACTTATTTTTGATAAATCTGAAATCTTGTGGTACCCCATACTTTTACTATTGCCATTCATGCAGAATGGCAATTCACGCATAAATCAGTTACCAAGCAATGAAAAATAGTGATTACAACTTTATTACCTATAAATAAGAGGTTATGTTTGCCTGACAAGTGGACCAGAGACAGAGGACCGGAGGAAGAACGTGAAGAGAAAAGGATTTTATATTATGATCGGTATATCTCTTCTGCCTCTCTACATGTGTGCCATTCAAACAGGATGAATATTATGTATGCCCATCTCCATCCATCTCCTGTTCAGGATTCAACAAGAAATATCTTCATTTGTTATATTCATTCATTCATCTGTAATCTGTCAGACGACAGGTCCACGGTCTTTTCCAAAACAGTTCCTCCACTTAATGCGATCTCAAGCTTTCTCCTTCAAATAGGAATATCCTCTTCTGTCCCCAAAGTCATCCAGCATCTTCTTATGTCTTCTTCCTCGTCTTCTGGTCACTTATATCTGCCTCTCTGGTTTGTTTTGTCTCCAGAGGAAACATCTCGCATACATGGTATCTTTGTTTTTGGAAAGAGACTATCCAGGAAAAGTGATAATGTGGTAGTTTTTCCATTTGCTTTCCACATCGCAGTACACAGCTGTTCAAACCACTCTGATCGCGCCTGTTGCTATACGAACTTGAACCATCTCGAGCATCATTTGCTCTGTACTTCAAGTTGCTGCTGATGACGCTGCTTCCGGCATCAGTTTTTGGTTTTTCGTGTCTCTCTTCATCTGATGTGTACCCATTGACCTGTCCAGCAAGGGAGGCCCTGCCAGTAGCTACGCTAATGCTGGTATGGCTCTCAGGGTCCTTGGCATACTCAAACCCCTTCACCACGTTAAGGTGGAGACACTAAGACTATATAAGCTTCCATATTAGTCAGTCCCCCTGCTATCACTCAGACTCCCTTCCATTCCTACATGTTATCACATGAAATGATTAATGCTAGCGCCCATGAATAACACACACAAATACTCAGTTGTAAACACATATTTTTGCATGGTGTGCTACAGTACATATCTATATGAAATAACCATAAATACTCAGAATAGACATGACACTTTGAAACAAAATACTGCATCCTTGTTTGTAAGATGTACATAATTTGTGTTCATACAGCATGATAATGCTTTACAGTTTGTTGCTATTGTAACCCAAAATTACAGATTTTCAGAGCTCTCGTCTCACTGTTACATTACTTTTTACTGTCTCATATACAGTCTGTATGTTATATATATACAGTAGAACTTGGTTATAACGTCATCAAAGGGACCTAAAAATAGTGTCGTTATAAACGAATGTCGTTGTAACGGAAATGGGCACTTCCACAGTAGCCTTATGTTAGTCACGTAAAAATCTACCAAAAACCGAGTTAAAATGTTGCATTTTTTAGTGAAATAGGTAGTTAAGTACAGACTAACGTAACATTAACGTGGAATTAATATGGATTCTCCATATCGTTTGTACTGTAGAATTCAGCAAACCAAATTCGCGGCATACATCAGCTTTTTTCCTTCCATTTTCTATTTCACGAATCACTTTAACTTTCTCTTCAATGCTTAAAACTTTCCTTTTCATTGCCATGTTTTCGCTACTGCACTTCTCTGGGTTTAGGCAGGAACACTATAGGGTAAGTAGACAATGTGAGGTCCTGTTAGACAAGATTCTAGGAAAGGAATGCAGTTAACAACCTGCCGCGTCCTCTTGCACTATTCACGCAGTCCCACCCCACACCCTTGTTTTCGCATAAAACCCACGCTCCTCTTGCAGCCCGTGGTCGTATTCTTCCAGGACAGTCACGTCAGCAAGTAGAGAAAGTGAGGGTGGGCAGACACATCGAACTTTCCCACGATATCAGAGAAATTCAGGAATGAAAATGACGTTACATACGAGGTTGATGCATTTGTGCATGTCGTACTAAGCAAGGTATAAAAACAGTTGCTTTATGAGGAATTAGTTCGTACCATTGAATATTTGACGCAATAGACAAGGTGTCGCAGAAACCGATGTTGCTATAACCAAGTTTTACTCTGTGTGTGTGTGTGTGTGTGTATATATATTGTGACATGTTGACCCCTACCTCCCCAGCGGTAACGTAACGCTCGCGTTCTTACGGTAATAGGCGAGTTCCCGCCCCGCCACTCCCCTCCGCGGTGACGTCACCGAGGGATATCGCGGTCGCTAGGCAACGCGAGTCAACAGCGGCGACGTTACGATAGTAACAGCGGTTACCTCCGCTAGCGTTACATAGCAACACA